TTAAATGAGATGCTTGACACAAAATAGTTGCTCAATAAATGTTAATTCCCAGTCTGAGTTACAGCTGGTGAACATGAGATTAGCATTAGGTTTATACTTCATAAAAGTTATTAAATGAATTTAAGCATTGTGGTATTAACACTTATCTTTTATACAGCACTTTACGTTTTCTACACTTTTGCATAGATTATCTCAATATAATCAGCCACTGGCATTGGTTCATAGTGCTTAAAGGATTCCTTTAGTATTTTTACAACTGTCTACTTCCTCATCTTCAGATCTGCTTTTTTCACGTTTATTAATTTGAGTTTGTTCAGTAATAGAGCAGTAGTATCATTTTCTATTTTTCAGCATGTAATTTTTCAAAGCATCTTATAGCTATATGTTAGCCTTAGCTAAGTTTTAGTGGGTCTAGTCATTATTTATAAATTAATGATGGGGAAATGAGTTCAATTTCCAAATAAATATTACTTTTTAAAGATACCTTCATTATATAAACTAGAAACTAATTTTTAAAGCTTACTTAAATTCCCATCTGGTGACTTTATGGTAAATTTTCTTTTATGCATATCAAGATTTTTGCTACCATTGTTATTTAGCTGAAATCTCCATATTGTTCATATATACTGTGAAAAAAGTGGTTTATTTTGACTTATTTACTATCTCCTTTGTTTTAAATCTTTTTACTATGTGGTTATTTATATACAAACAGTGATACTAAATTTCTACTGTCTACTAGAAATTGTTTCTTTATGCATCTCTGTCTTATCCTTTAGTGTCCAAAATTTTATGAGGCATTTCTAAGGGATAAAGGATTTCCCATCTTTATCTATTCACCATGTGAGCCATTCTAGTGACAAATGAATTCTGGTCAGTGAATCGAGAAGGACACAGATGTCAAAGCCATGAATTTATAAATGGTCTGTTAAGAGGGTGCTTTTGTCCAATCAGCATTTTGTTAATTTCACCTACAACGAGGAATAATTATTCAATTATAGCTTCTATCTGACAAAAATCAAATGACAAATGTGTCAGAATGTGAAGGTAAAGGGTTAGTCAGGATTCTGGCAGGTGGTCCAAGATTTTAGCCAGCTGTGAGGAGGTGGATATACAACCAAATTGACCTATAACACTGATTACATATCCTTATGAATATTCATAGATCTTACTACTGGAAGATTAAAAATAATTTTATTTCCAAATTTTAGCAATCTAAAAACTGCTTTTCTGTATTTTTGTGAAAGACAATTTGAAAAACACACAACACTCAAAAATAAAATCATGTTCTTCTTTAGTTTGTTTCTCTTCTAATTACAATTTCAAAATTGTTTTATTACTTTTGGTAAGCTATAATTTTTCTTATAAAAAGTTATCTTTATTTTTTAATGGTGGTACTAATATTACTTAATGTAGAGCCAGAGAACAGTACATTTTTTCAGTAAAAGGCAATATAGTAAATATTTCCAGTTTTATAGGCCGTAGAGCCCCTGTCCCAACTATTCAACTCTGCCACTGTAGCACAGTGTGATTATAGACAACATGTAAACAAATGAATGTGGTGGTGGTACAGCTAAACTTTATATATTAATACAAAAACTGGCAGCAGGCTGGATTTGAGTATGGGCTATAGTTTGCTGATCCTGATGACTGATGGCATTTTAAAACTTCAGTAAGATTTTAAAAGATATTCTAAAATAGCAGAACTGTATGAACTATGTTAAGTATCTTGAATGTCTGTGCACTGCACAACTCCAGAGGATATATGGTTCCCATGAACTATATAGTGTGAATAGCACTCCGTGAAGTAGGACCATATGGTGGCCCTGATAATAATCCCACCCCCTTCCATTTCTCCTCATTTACATCAAGGGTATCTATGTCTAGCCTGCTGCTTGCTTTGTGGATAAAGTTTTATTGAAACACAGCCATGCCCATTTGTTTACGTATTGGCTGTGGCTGCTTTCACACCAACAATAGCAGAAAGCAGTAGTTTCAACAAAAATCATTTTTGTCCACAAAACCTAGATAATGCCACAAAAAAAATGTTTGCTGACCCCTGACTATACCTTTGTTATGTTCCTCTTTAATGATGAAATAACAGGGCATAATGTGGGAAAGCTTCTATAATTTTCAGTCCAACAAAGAATATATCAGGAAGTTAGCCACATACCTAAATTTCCTTCTGAATTCTAATTTTTTTAATTCAGTGTTTCTCATCCTAAGGATCTGGTTCAGGACACTAAATATACTTCCTTACAGCTGATCCTCTTACTGAGTTAACATTTTCAATAACAAATCAGTTACTTTGAAGAATTTGTATCATTCGAGAATTTAAAGACAATCCAGAGGCTTTACCTGTTTGTGGAAGAAGGGGAGAGTTTGCATGGCAATGAACTCTGGCAGATGCAGGTAGCATACCTCCCACAATGCCTATCAGGGAAGACTTGAGAACTTATCAGTGACTTAGCACTAGATAGTTTTTTCTGAGTATCTCACAAGTTAGGTTTGGAAGCAGTTGCTTTGATGCCAGTAGATCTTATCATGGGCTTTATTTGGAGAATAATTTAGTGCTGCTATCATTGAATAGTAAAATTGGTAAGGCTGTGTATAAAAACGTTTGGTGGGAGGAGAGGGTGATTTTTCTACTGTTTACATCTGAAAGCTGGTCAATAATCTGGGGGTTTTTTTGCTGTATTTCTTTGGTACATTTATACTTGTTTCAGTTTGCTGATATGGGAACATATGTTTTATATTTTTAATTCATGAATACTCTAAAAGTTGATATTTGAGATATTGGAAAGACAAAGTTAATTTTGTTATTTATTGTAAAAGAAAAAAAGGATCAGCATTATTTATAAAGTTTTGTGTTGTGAAGTTCTTTACTTGTTATTAGGGGAGAGTTCCTCCCTCAGTCACTCTTTCCCTAACTCACGTAACACTTACCTTCTTGGTTTTCTTACCTTTGTGGCCCCAGTTTCTCCGTCAAGTCCCTTGAATTCTATTATTCATTATCTATTCTCCCTAGGTCTCGTGAACTCCCATTACTTTCATTTATATGCCTGTGGTCTCCACATTTATGTCTTGAACTTAGATAATCTCTTTTGAATTTCAGACCTTTATATTCAGCTACATTTCAGACATTTTTATCTGTTTGTCTCTTAAGCACTAACTGCTCCTTTTCCTTTTGAATCTGCTCATATTTATGTCCTATTACAATGGTTAGTACCACAATCTGTGCTGTTACTAAAGCTAAATACGGTCAGTCATCCTTGACCTTTTCCCCCACAGCCAGTCAGTCTCAAAGTCCTCTGAGTTCTACTTCATAAATATCCCTTGAAAAACTCATCCTTTCCATTACCACAGCAGTGTCCTAGTTTATATCACCTGGTTTATTTTAACCATCTCTTAGTTTATCTGTTTTCATCTTAGACCCGCCATTATTCTCCACATTGCATTCCAGGTGGTTTGTCCAAAATCAAAATCTAGGCATGTTGCTGCCCTATGTAAAATTTTTTACCGGATTATCATTATTCATAGAATAAAGTCCAGTTTAGTAATTTGGTTTACTTGGCATATAGTCTTTGGTCCCTATTTACCTTTCTAGCTTTGTGTCTGTTTCTCTCTAATTAGATTGTATATGGTCTGTCCCATCTATTGTGACCCTTTATGCACACTGCTGCTCACTTTGCCTAGAATAGGCTTTCCCTCCCCACTCTCAACTTACTGGGATTCAGTTCTTATCTTACATATTATCCCTTCTCCCATTCTTCAGCCAAGTATGAATTAGCTGTTGTTATATGTGAATTTTCAGTACTGCAAAAGAAGTAACACTTGAATATAAATTTAATTTTCTCAGCAAGACAACTTACTTTCCACAGAAAGGGCGCTCCCATTAGCCATCTTGCCATCTGAGGACACTGAACAAAGGAGGCAGGGCCATCTATATCTAACATATCCGCCCTGCTGCTATGTTCTGATTTCATTGGCTGGAACTGGACTCTACACTGTAGGCTGTACACAATTGGCTAACAACTTAAAACTTTCCTAAAGAGGTAAAGGCAAAGGAGAACAAAGGAAAAGAGGAAGTAACTTGAGGAATGCTTAGAGAAGCAAAAGCATTTCCAAATAAGGAAGGGAATCAGCTTTGACCTGGGCTCGTCCAGGCATGTCAGCGCAAATACCTAGGCTAAAGTGTACCAACTAAGAACATTGGATACACTTATTTCTTCATTATGAGTAACAGCTACTTTAAGATTATTAGCAAAAGCTTTAAAATAAATTAACTTTTGAATAAACTATTATTTATTTGTATTGAACTAAGAGGAAAGCTTTGAAGAGGAACCTTTTATTCATTCTCATTTCCTACAGCTGTTTTTGCCGTGAGCTCCCAAAGTACCTTGTATGCTCACCTCACAAATAGTTGTGCATTTCTTTGTCAAAATTTTCTAAATATAAGTTTATTGAGGGTAGTGGTATATGTCCATACACTGTAAATTAGACTGGCACATATGTCTGGCACATACTTGATGTTTATATTTTTCTGTTAAATGAGAGGAATATGAACTAGTCTTCTGTATAACTGTAAAACCCCGTTACATGATTTTCTTACATGCTACATGTCTTTTTAAATGATTTGCCCCTTTCGGCATGTTTTTAGAGGAAAATAGGATTAAGTAAAGATCTAGTACATTTTAAGTTACCATACTTTAAGTTTTAATATCAATAAATATGTTTATTTCAGGATTGTTTAATTCCATGATCCCATTTTAATTCAGACCCTATCATTGGAATCCCTGTTTTAATCTTAGCATCATGATAATGGGTATCTTTTTTAAAAAGAGGCTGCAAGATGAAACCTGGTTATTTTTCCTGATCTATAACTTCTTTAATCTCCCACTGCTAGTAATCTTTACTGATGGATTTGATAGTAGCCTTTTAAAAATTATATTCCATAATAAAGGGAGCTAATGCTTCATTGTCGGACATTTTATTTGTTACAGTCTACCCTGACATTTGCACTATCAGCCTTGTAGCAGTGAGTGATGTGAACAAACATGCTGAGAGAATTGCTTTTTGGGATGATGTCTATGGCTTCAAGATGTCCTGCATGAAGAAAGCTGTTATTCCAGAAGCGGTTGTGGAAGTTTTAGATCCACAGACTGTCATTTCAGAACCTTGTGGTATTAAGGTAGGTACTTTACCAACTTTATTTTTTATAATGGTATTGCTATTTTTCTTAGTTCAGCATTTGAAACATATTTGAAAATAATATATTGATTTTATATGTGGGCTTTCAAAACAGTACTCTTCCCTTTATAATCAGTATAAAACAAATTGAGGTCATAATATTTACCAGTTGACTATATCATCTCTTTGTAATCACTTCTCTCTATATTAAACTCCTTACACTCAGTTTTACAATCCTTCAAATCTAACTCTGAACTGGTCGAATAATTTATATTTACTTTGGCTTAATCAAAAGTCCTTTTGTATTATCATTTCTGCTTCAACACCCCCTCCTAGCCTGATTTACAGCCAGATTTTTCATTCATGTCATATATTCCACACAATTTAACTTCTCTCATTCAGGTTTCTTCCAGCATTTTCAGATTAAATAATTACATATAGTGAATCTGCCCATGAAACTAAAGCCCTACTATGTTCAGATTTCTCGGTTACTTCCTTTTGTGTTTTGTCATCTTATTTTTTGCCTTGTTAATCTTTGGTTTTATTGTGAATTTTTTTATGTTGAATTTACATGGGTTCACTGGTTACTTTGCAGCAAAAAATAATATTACTTTTCTTAACTCCATAATTTGTCTGTTTCAACTAGATAATCAAATAAATATACAGTAATATGTTCAGTGTTAGGTTCAGGATATTCTGTCTCTTTTTTGAGACCTAGCTTCACTGTGACACCCAGGCTGGAGTGCAGTGGCACAATCTCGGCTCACTGCAATTTCCACCTCCCATGTTCAAGAGATTTCCCTGCCTCAGCCTCCCAAGTAGCTGGGACTACAGGCACTCACCACCACGCCTGGCTAATTTTTTGCATTTTAGTAGAGATTGAGTTTCACCATGTTGGCCAGGATGGTCTCAATCTCCTGACCTTTGTGATCCACCTGCCTTGGCCTCCCAAAGTGCTGTCTTCTCTTTTTAATCATTCTATTACTTTCATGTAGCATCAATATTTCTTCTCTGTACAAAGTAGATACTTAATACATATTTAATTTTCTTAAATGGATAAAGCATTAAAAGTTAGTATAGAGTAATAAACATGAAGTTTCTTAAGAGTATGCTGATTAAAATTGCATTCAGCTTTTAAGGAAAAAAAACAGTCTGTTTGATAGTTATGAGTGTTCAGTCAGTACTCTGGTACACCAATAGTAAAGGGTTTATTTAGACTCTGGCTAAGGATAGGAGTGTACAATTATAACCAATTAAGCCTTAAGGTTAAGCAGAAAGAGGAGAGTTGGTAGAGGTTGCTGATTTCTCTGTGTAGTGATCTCTACTAAATGCAAAAACTGCTATGAATAAATAGTTGAAACAGAAAAATTTAGAACTGAAAACAAGGTGTTGAAAAATGTATGTACCCCCTTTATTAAATATATTTTGAAGTAAATTGTTCTGTGTTCTCCAGTCCCCCTACAAACACATTGTACTTTTAAAATTTTTTCTGAAATTTTTTTAAATAGTGCCTCAGGTCTGTGGTTACCTTAACTGCATTCACTGGGTTATAATCTACTCCTGGCTGGTCAGCTGATGACGGTCTTTACAGCATACTTCTGGTTAGACTGCTGTCGTTGAAAGGTTATTCCATTTCTTCTCCAAAGTATAATGGAGAAGGATTTGGAAAAGGGCAGAATGGGAAAATAAAGATACTTGGCTGTTTTTTCCCTGGGTTGAATCACCATAGTTTTGCTGTTTTGTTTAAATTGAGTGGTTTCTCCTCATATCTAACAAAAGCTATCTTCAAATACAATTATAGACATGAATTTTAAAACAACTTTCTATTCATTAGCATTTATTTTCAAGTTGGCAGTTTCTATAAATATATTGACTGTTAATCACACATGATTTATAGCAATTATGGCAAGTATACCTTACACAGTAGGCAACATGATGTTAGGTGAAACAACAGGAAAACATTTTTTTTAAGTATTTATTTTAGTGTGTCAGGAAAACTTTAGCACATTAGAGCTATGATTTACTATTATTTACTATACAGTATTATTTACTATAATACTATTGCTTACAAGGAGTCTTAATTATAAAAAAGAATTTGATTTAAAGAAAAATTAACAAAATGGGAGTACTAGTACTCATTAAACTTATAATTCCAAAAAGTAGTGTGTGAATGGTTAAAGTTTTCAGAACATTAGTTTCCAATAATCATTTGTGCATAAAAGCAGTAATGTTTATCTGGGTTGTTGGGGATTTTTTTTTTTTTTTTTTTTTTTTTACTATTTTTACTAAGCTCTTTCTTCCACTCTTTTTCATGGGTAGTATATAGATTGCCATACAACGTCTATCTCAGATTTGGAGTTTTCATCAGATTTTACCCTGAAAATTACAAAGACATCCATGTGCACGGTAAGCTATTTCGTTCTGCTCTCACAAATTTCACTAGCAGTGCAGTTGATTGGCAGGCTAATGAGTTTAATTACCAAGCTTGTGACAAATGAAAACAACTATTGCCTCTGACAGTCTGCTATGACCTTTATTAGGCCATTGAACAGATCTGGTTAATAGGTCAGTAAAACCTCAAAAAAGTTTAAAGTATTAGGAAAACCTGTTTATATAATGATTTTATAGAGTGAGTCTTTATTATTTTCTATCACATAGTCAGGAACACTCAAGTTTATCTTCAAAGACCAAAGTTCATACCCTATTCTTCCCTTTAACTCTTAACTTTTAATTTAGATGGAAGATATGTTTATTTGGTAGAATATTTTATATTTATACATGAAAAATTACTAACCTGATGTTTAGTTAACTTTCAAAAATCAGCTTGGTCTAATAGAAAAAATGCTTTGGAAAAGTTAGGCAGATCTGGGTTCATATGTGGTTTTACCACTTTCATTTTGTTGTTCAAGTTACCTAAGTAATCTGTGCTTCAGACTATTCTGTTGCTTTAAGAAAAATGTGGATAATTCTATTTCAATGACTCATTACATGGATTAATGAGATATATGTGAAGCACCTACAATATAGCCAGAAATGTTAGCTTACTAAAATATAAAAGTTTTTTCCTCTCTGAAATAATTTATAAATGTTCATTATTTTTAAGATAACATTTATCGCTGTCAGGATACTCACATTTTTAATAAAATGTGCTTCTTAAAGTATGAGTTTATATAGGCGGTATTAACATGAATATTTATATTATGTTAAAAATAACCATGGTTTTTAAAACTATGTCCTCAGAAGTTAACATTTTTATGGAAAACTGTATTGTCAGAATCTGTAAAATAGATTATAAGTCATGTTAACATTGAGTCTTCTGCCTAATTCTTTAAAATATTTGGTTCAGATTGATATACACAAGACTTCATGTCTTCTTTACAGTAGTTTCAGTTCATTTTGATTCAGATTGATATACACAAGACTTCATGTCTTCTTTACAGTAGTTTCAGTTCATTTTGATTCAGTGATTATTTTATATCCAAATAAGTTTAATAATGTACTTTGATGTTTTGAGGGATTCTTCTTTTAGTTGAAGTTGGTTTTATAATTTTTTAAAGTTTAAATACCTAGATTACAGATTTGTGACTTTGGGGCACTCATAATCATTTGTTTAATTAACAAAAAGCAAAATTTGATTCTTTTTATTTTCCATGCATTTTCTAATTCTGCTTTTTAGTAATTGAAATTATTTTTGTCAGTTGAAATTAGAGGCTAAAGACTTTAACTCCTAGACTTTCTCTTTGTTTTGATATTAATACATGAGAGTTAAAAGAAGACCATCTTGATTAATGAAAATTCATCTATCATCTATAAAAGAATTCCTAGATATAAATTGTCATATCACCAATATTAAATATATAATTCAAATTTACTTTCAGTGCCTATCACATGAATCAAAATAGAGCAGATGCAAAACTCTAGTGAAGATGTCAAAAATTGTTTTTAGTTGTACATATTTGTGAACTCTAGATAGAAGAGTTTATTGACTTTCATTGAAATATTCTTTTTTTCTGGTTTATTGGTCAGGGTTCTTAGCTTTGTACAACATAATTTAGATCAGCTTGTTTAAACTGAGAGATTTATTAGAATACAGTAGTTTCCAGATACATTGGGAGAGCCAAAGGAACAGACTGTATTTTGAACTTCTAGAAACTTCTAGAACCACACCTTTGAACTGGCCTGCTACAGGGCCACCTGTTTTAAATAGCCTACCACTGTAGGTTCTATTTACCCTAATTCTCCTGGCCCACTTGGTGTTAGCCACCACTGACGACCCCAGATGAACAAAACCCTTTACTACAATCCTGGTTCCTGACCCTCTGTGCTCCCAACCCATGTAGGCCATTTTTTCCTTCCAGATCTTCATTCAGCATATCTGCTTGGTAAATCTAGGTCTTGTGGGGCTCAAGCTGTCAGTAGGCTTTGGAGAGCAGTTTTAACTACAGGTTTATACTACAGATCTCGAGTTCCATAACATATATGGAATTCTTTTCTATTTCCTGGTATTTGGGATAGAGTACAAGAAGTTTTGTATTAAAAGAAACTGTATCCTTTAGTCATGTTAGTTTTATTCCATATACTTAAAAGAGTAAAACGAAACAAAACAAGAAAAAAACTGGTAAAGTCTCTTTAATTCAGAAATTGGAATTGGACTTTTAATATTGAAGAATGTAAGTATCAAATAGTTACTTGCTTCATTTGTTTCTGTACAAAGAGTTCTGTAAGAAAAATGAATTATAAGTAAACTCTTACATTATGTTTATAAAGTATGTTTTATTTAGATTTGCATTTTTATTCTCAACTTGCCTGAATGGTGTTTATGAAAAAAGTTTGGAAATTAGGTGAGCGTGAGGTTTGTGAAGAAGGTGGCAGGAGGTTAGAGTGGAGTTGTAGGTGTCTGGTCACTGCTGAATAACCTAGTTCTGTAACTTACCTCACAAAGAATATATGAAGAATATATTGTTATAAACCCTTTATTGGATGCATGCCAGGTACTGAAGATAAAATATGTTAATAGTTAGCATTGAATGTTAACTCTTCTGATGTTATCCTTTCAAGTTTAGTTAATATTACCAGAGAAAGATAACGTATATCAACAGTCATTGAACACTTGAATGTCAGATAATGTGCTAATCACTTTAAAAGCATTATTTAGGTCTTATAACCATTTAAGGTGGGTACTGATATTATTACCATTTTACCGGTGAAGGAAAAAAAATTACTTTGTTTTACTTGTGAAATAAAATCTCCTTACTCTTTCCTGACCCAAAAAAACCCTTCTCTGTGGGATTGTACAAACTATTAAAAGAACGTAGAGAAACCTATGAATAAGATCTCACAGGGGTAGAAGAAAGCAGGCTTCGTGTTGCATTTGAAACAGATTTAACAATGTTTATTTTTGGCAAATAGCCCAGCAGTTGGAATGAAGAGGGAAAGAGAAGATGTATAATCTGAACACACTTTTCCTTTGAGACAGGCCTCGCTGATTAATGTGATAAAATCAGTCCCATAGTTCATCCTCTTTGCAGCAGGTAAAAAGTAGATCTTTGAAGTTTTTCCTCATCCTCTCAGAGTAAGCTTACACTTATTTGGCTAAGCATCTGCATTTCTTGGAAACCTCCTTCCCAGCATGCTTACTGTAACATGAGCTTGACCAGGAGTAGGATTTTGTGGCCTAATGCTTTTATTAGGTTTTCATTTTTTGTGTGAGTCTGAACTTTCCACCCATATTTACTTCAATTCTCTTGTTCTTTGGGGTGCTGTCAACTCTTTACCCTCCCTCTTACAGACCTGTTTATCTGGAGCTACTTATGCCTCTCAGACTGCTCTTGAATGGATACATTAGTCACCCAGCTTATGTGGGAATAATCCATAACAAAAGTATTAAAAACGATGAGTACCTAATTGGAACTTTGTTTCTCCTTTATAGTTAGAAGAATTAGTGAAGATACTAAAAAAGCTTTTAAAAAGCCTAGTAAAGGAATAAGTAAAGTAACTTTAGGGAGTAAGAGGAAGAGTTTGGGCTTTTTTAGATAGAGGGAAGAAGAAACTATCAATTTGTACTGCTAAGTACAAACCTTCAGATACAGTAAATACTGCTTTTCTTGTGTTGAAACTTGAATGCTTAGCTACTAATTAAGGTGGATAATTTCTCTATTGTAGTTAGTCCAGTTTAAATATACGTATAAGTTTTCTTTTTCTTTATTTTTTGAGACAGGGTCTCACTTTGTTGCCCAGGCTGCTGGAGTGCAGTGGCGTGATAGCTCACTGCAATCTCTGCTTCTGGGTTCAAGCGATTCTCCTGCCAGAGCCTCTCTAGTAGCTGGAACTGTGGATGTGCACCACCATAGCCAGCTAATTTTTGTATCTTTAGTGGAGACAGGGTTTCACTATGTTGGCCATGCTGGTCTTGAACTCCTGTCCTCAGATGATCCGCCCACCTCATCCTCTCAAAGTGTTGGGATTACAAGCGTAAGCCACCATGTCTGGCCATAACCATTTATTTCTTAATGAGATTATAAATGTGTGGCCTAACTTAAAAGTTAGACAAAATTGGATCTTACACAGTTACAGGATGCTAAGAATACTTCCCTTTTGTATTTTATTTTAATAGCATGTATACTACAGACTGATAATGCTTTCAGATAGCTTCTATAAGATTATTAGAACCTTTCATGGAAAACATTTTCTTTTGCAGTCTCTTCCACCACAATATACATACATTCCCAAATGCCACAGATGAAATTTGATGGCATTTTAATGTTTTACATTAACAGACTTTATATTTTAGGAATATAACATGATGTGATATTTATATGTAAATATCTTGAATCTTGGTTGCCTATAATGATTGAAGGATAATTTTTCAATGAATACTCATACCACATACATAGCAATTTTCTGAACATTTCTTTAGGATATTTTTGACAGTTTAGATGAAATTGTCATTGCTTTTATGATAGAGTATGAAGGTTTAGTTGGCTTCTGGCATTTTATCTGTCATACCAGCCTGCTTAACCTAGCCCAAAATGAATAATAGTCTATTATTTTTATGGAAAGTTTATAGGTATTCAAAAGCAAAAGCAGCAAGACTATAAAATTTAGAACTCATATGTTTTGTGAGTTTTATTTGTAATGTCGTTTGTGTAATGTTCTCTTACTGTGTATGCCAAGTGGTATTTATATTTGCATCTGTGAGTCTATAAGCTGCTTAAAGGTATAGAAAGGCATGTTCTTTCCTAATTCTAAGTATACATTAAATGATTTTTAATAATGCTTATTATAGAACAAATGAGTTGTTTACCTTAAAAATGAAAATAGTTAAGTTGGATTTATCTGATTACATTCTCATACACATAAATAATACAGGTTGAGTATCCCTTATACAAAATGCTTGGGCCCAGAAG